GCTTCAAGATACTCTCCTTTATCAGACTGAACACTTCTATCTTGAGTGTCACTCCAGACAGAGAATTCCTGCAGTGCTCCATATGGCTCATGGATGGGTTCATCCAGGCTAAGGAACTTCATCACTGTAATGCCTAATTAGCCCCATGAGTTTAGGACCAGTAGAATCAACCAGCCTGCAAAGTGGTAGGTACTGATGGTGCACCCACTAACAGGCTTAGAGAATAGACTTCTTGCACCATTCCCAAATCCTGCCTTCTCTTATGGTACTGGATTTGGCTGTGTAGCTTCTTATGAAGGCTCAAGGCACAGTGTCTGCTCTATAGATGTTTGATGAGCCAGTAAGAAGCACAGAATAAAATGCCATGCAAAACCAGAGTGGCAAGTGGTCACTGTAGCTGAGATTGAGGTTAAATTTACTTCTAAATCTTCAATATCAACAAGTTATTTAAGGCTTGCCTTTATATTTTTATCCTTCCTGTTGGTTTGACTTTCTGGATCATTATAGCAGATTAATGATAAATATACTAGTAAGATAGACTTCCTCCCAGTGGTAGGAAACGTATTTTAGAAACGTGTTCCTCTACCAGTTTATTTCAGTGAGAATTAAGGTTTCCAAGAAAGAAATCAGGCTATTTATATATTAGATGAGAAATGGTGAGGATAGATTTTACTTTTTAAATTTCAGCAAAACCAAGAGTAACTTGTAACTGTGCCATTAAGATGTAGTCTGGAGAAAAATTAGCAGATGTGAGTACACTTCTAAGTACCCATCAGTTTAGCTTGGTGATGAGTGAAAATGCAGTTTTTTTACATTCCATATTAAAAAAAAAGATGCTGGAATAATCTCAGCAGCATCTTAATTCGGCACTCTTTATGGTGTGCTTGCATTTGCAATATGCACAATCTCTACTGATGTTCACAGGATAATGTAAGTATTGACAGTTGGTAATTTCTCTAAAGAAGTAAGGCCTGTGCTTCAGGGAGCCAATTAAGGGAATGGTCTCCTCCCTGAGTGATAATTGTATATGGCAACTACAATCAATAAATACTTTTCAATTCTAATAATTTGAATCTCACATTGACTCAAACGTGACCCTTTGCTAGTGTGACCACTTTGCAATGAGAGAGAGGTATGTTGGTTAAATTCATATGACTGCAGCTTCCTGGAAAGAAAATTTAGAATAATAAAGCCACAGACAACTGCAGAGAAAACTCCAAACATATCACAGTTCACCCAGCTTTTAACAGTATCCACTGAAAGAAGCACAGAGAGAAAGAAAGCAGAGAACCAAAGCCATTAATTCATATGAAAATCCCAAAACTATCCCAGTTGGATTAAGATTGTGGAAGATTGGGATTATACAGTTATGTCTGACAGTTATGGTTCTGAAAATTAGGTTCTAAAGCCTCTAAGGAATTTTTTGCAGCACCACTACACTTGAAGTCTTAGACTTGATGGCTTTTTTTACTCCAGGATTGTTCTCCATGTTTGGATTTGCCCTATCCACTGAGATGGTGACTAACAAATGTAGGAAGACAGATAGAAAAGCTCTTTAGACCTCTTTTGGGGATTCAGCAAGAGGGAGACTGGCATAGATTGGTTTACAATTTAAAATGGAATGACATCACACCTTTGCCTTCCTTACCAATTCTTTTGGATATACAACCCGCAAGTAGGGAAAAACTCTGTGGTGTTGATCTGCTTGTGCTTTTAAGATAGAACATGGGGGGAGAGGGAAGCAGATAGGAGGGAAGGAGGGAGGGAAGGACAGAGGGAGAAAGGGCAAGCTGGTTAATGTTTTTCTTTCAGCTTGTTTTCTATGAGTCACACCACTAAGTATTTGCATTAGCAGGTCTCCTGCTGCTGCTACATCGTTCAGCTGTTTGTTTAGTTGCTGTGCCTCTTGAAAAGTCCAGCAACACTGAATTTTTATACATCCTTCTTGTACTTTATTAATGAATTAAATCTTTAAGAAACAAAATGTTCCCATCACTGTTCTTCTACCTGCAGAAGTAGCAATGCCTCCAGTCTCAGTGCTATTACTCACTCAAATAAAAGGTTACAGAACCAGACCAATATTTATTATTACTTCGTTTTATGTTGTCTCCTGACCAAATTGTATCAGAAAAACTGAAAATAACAACATAACTGGCATGTCACAATAATCAAGTTTAAAGTTCAAAGCTTCTTATTCCCACTTGTGAATTAAAAGAAAAAAGTTGCTTAATCATAATTTTTGCAAACACAAACACTGAGTATAACTTGACCAAATCACTTTGAAAGAGTTGTATTTCTTTCTTTAGGTATGAGACAAATACTGTCCAGAAACATCAAATCAGAAGTTATATAAAGTAAGACTGAGATTGCCTTATTCTTGCAAAATTGGGTCTTCAAAAAAATCTTGTTACTGACTTTAACAAAAGGCTGTGAGCAAAACTCTATCATGGTCAGCATGAAGAGAAGCTGCTAAGTCTAATTAAAGAAAAGGAAGAACTGCAGACAGCTTATTTTCTCTTTATGACGATAAACAGCAATTTGCTGCTTGATGATCTTTCTCTTTTGCTTATTCCCCAGCATTCTGAATTTCTTTAATAGTTTGCTTTCAACTAGCCTTTTTTTTAATCTTTTCAAGAGTGCCAGCATAAGATATGCTAATTGAATACAAGACACAGACCTGCCCTACATGAAAAGGCAATAAAAGCATGCAAACGTACCTGCTCACAGAGTAAGGTAGCTCAGACAAGAGATCCACTCTATGACAGGGACAGGGTCTCAAGAGGAGCGCTTGTAAAGGAAGCTCTTCAAAACAGCTCTGTATCTTCTACATAAGATGTTTGTTTTGGTTTTCCTCCTCTTTAATCAAAACAATGACTGGTGGGAGAAAAGCAGGTGTTTTAAGCTTTGTCTTGGTTGTAAAAGAAACAGCACATTAAGAGAAACTTTTCTTCGTTGCAGGTGTGTGATCTACGCAACTTTCTCTTGGTCTGACCCCAAACGGCGAGTGTGGATAAATGGTATCTTCTTACTTATGACATCTGTTCCCTGTGTGAATTCAGACATGTGTGTCCTGACTTCAATAACAAAAATGCTTTTTTTCTAGCTACTTGTTATTCTTGCTACACTAACATAACTGAGGGAGTATGAGCTATAGCTCTTGTCTATCTTCAGCAGAACTATGGGATAATTAAAGGACTACTCAGTTATTTCTATGCAAATGAACTGCCTAGGTGAAATTTAAAACACAGCTTGCTCTTTAGAACATTTCTCACTCGTAGTGATCTGCTAGAAGACAAGAAGTTAGCATACAAAAATGTTTAGTTGCCCAATTTAATTAATCTGGAGACTTCTATGTAGAGCGTCTGTCTTCCACTTGCCACATGGGCATATTTTTTGAAGTGACTGAAAACATTGAACAATTCTTTGAAGCTGGAAGTTTAACCTCCCTGCTGTACAGTTACTGCTTCATTCTAGATCCATTCTTGCCCTGTATGCCACTTGGGCTGAAGATGGCTTTCAGAGAGGGGACTTCTAGGACAACTCTGGAAGAGAAGGTCACCCCCTATATAAAAAATGGCAAGGCACTGCAATAATTTATGTACTACAACTTATACTCTTTTCTGGAGCATTGTATTGATGTTTAAACCTCTTTAGGTACACACAAGGAGCATCAGTGATCAGTATGCTCTACTCAGAGTGCCCTTCCTCATCTCTTTTTCCACAGTGGGTGAAACACATGGGCTAAAACAAAGCTGCTCCTCTGCAGTGGCTCAGGCACAGTAAGTAAGAGTGTACTATAACTGCCTGTTAATTAAAACAGTCCTTCAGCTGAAGTGCTAAAATACTATCTGGGCTCTGAAAATGCATGATTTTATCCCTGCTAACAATCCCATGAAGAATTTGCTTCAAATTTACATGAGCCTATGCTTTCCTTTGGTATAAAGTTTTTGCCTAATCATATGACCTGTGTTCTTCCCCTGAGGTTTCTTCAGTTCCAGCTCTGCACTGCCACACAGCTTCTCAACAGCTTGGGGAGCTGCATGATCTGACAGGGAGTGGACGCAGAGTTCTGAACAAACACATTTTTTAAAAACTGCAGGAAATATCAGGGTAGTGATGTGGTCTAATTTATCCTCTGGTCACTTAATGCAGATAATGGAGGCCGGTGATAGAGAGTGCGTGCCCTGGGCAATACACTGGTTCATTACACACACGTGGCTCCCTTTAAGTTTAATGTGAATTTAACGTACCAAGAAAAGAGAGGACATGCCTTTCAGGGTGAGTGCACGCTCTCAAAACAGCTAATGAACTCCCACAATAATGCCTGTTCCTAAGATAGCTCCAAAGACTGAATATTGATAACTAAGCACTTTTATGACTGATACTTATGCTTCATTCATCTCAACCAATAGCTCTTTACATCATTAACATCACCCTGAACATCAGATGTGTAGGGAGCATTCCTGCTTTGAGGCCTAGTGTTTCTTGCGCTACCTTCAAAGAGATGCCCGGTTCAGAAAGGCACTAAGGCACAGCCCTCACAGGGCCTGCTGACTGCCAATATCGCTCTCCTGGTCACTTTGGCTTTGCTCACACTCAGACTTTAGGTGCAGGTGCCCCTCTGGGTCCCCCCTCCGCGCTGGAGCCTGAAAGGTTTAATGCGCCAAGCGGAGCCTCCTGTATGACTCTCCTGCCGCCGTTCGCGAGCGCTGCGGGGCCGCGCCGCTCCCAGCCGCACACGCTTCGCCAGCCTCGGCTGCCGAGCCAGACCCGCGCTCGCCTCTAAAAATAGCGCGGCTGAGCTATAAATAGCAGCGCCTGGAGCGGCTCCGGAGTGCCCCCGCCAACGCAGCCAACGCCGCCGCTGCTGCTGCTGCGGGAGGAGAGCGCCCGAGGGGAAGGGCCCTGAGGGAAACGGGAAGAGAGGGATGGATGGATGGATGGATGGATGGATGGATGGATGGATGGATGGATGGATGGATGGATGGATGGATGGATGGATGCGAGGGCGTGGATGGCCGCGGGGCAGCGAGCCAGGGGCGGGCACGGCTGGGGCAGGGCACGGCGCTCCTCCCCGGGCGGCTGCGGGCACGGGCGGATCCGCGGGTGCTGCTGTGTGGGGCCGGGGCCGCGGCACCTCGGCGGGCTCCTTCCCTCCTCCCCTGCCTCTCTCGGCCTGCGGGAGGGCAGCGGGCGGCCTGGAGCCAGGAGCAGAGCCCTTCCAAGGGGAGCCCAGTGACACCAGGGGCCATGGGCACCTACGGGGCACAGTGGGAACTCTGGATGAACACCGGGAACCCCTGTCCCCCGTGAGGCTGACAGAGCACAGGCACAGCTTGCCCGGTGAGTTGTCCGTCCTCGTAGGAAACACCTAAAGCCGCCCGGGCACGGCTCTGCGCCTCCAGCTCTGGGCGGCCCTGCTTCAGCCGGGGGCCGGACCAAATAACCTCCAGAGGTCCCTTCCCGCCTCCAGTGCCCTGTGATCCTCTGAAATCCCGTAGAGCCTCGCTCTGAAAAAGCAGAACTGAGGATTCTTCTTCACGTAAGGCTTCCAGGAGTGTGCTAAAATTTAGTAAGAGCTTTCTACTCTGGTGTGTTGCTGGTGCTTATGGCTTTGTGGTGAAGGTTTCTTAGGGCAAACTTTGATTGCAGCTAGCAGGCCTCCAGCGGAGAGCTGCCGGTGCCTTAAGAGAGCGAGCAGCAGGGAATTGCATTTAATACCTCCTCCTTTCACTTCTGACGTTCTTTCTGCAAGGAACAGCAGGGCTCCCCTACTATGCTGTATGATCTTGCTCTGTTAACTAATTTCGCCTTGTAACAGGAATGCTCTTGCTTGCACAGTGAAAATAATAATAAATAAAAATCCCGTGTCAGTAAAACCTGTTAGCTTCATAGTGCTGTAATTTTAAACAATGTTCTCTCCTACTGAATGCTCTCTTGCTTTCTGATCTAACCTGTGCTTTGCACCTTTTGAGAAGACAAGAAAGAGCACATAAGAATCAGAAGAATTTTCCCATACCACTGCAGGCCATTTACAGTGAAGAAGGTCTGAGTCTCCATGATGAAGCCAGCCAGTGTTTTGCTGTAGTAGTTAGTCAGTACCACCTTGCAAATGTTAATGCATCTGAAGATACTCAGACCTCCTTCATAGGGATTCATTGTAATCAGATGCTTTGGTTGTTTGGGTTTTTTTAATGAACTGCTAGTAGAAAGTGCCTTTTTTCAGAAAATAAATTTAGTTGCAATGGTCCAATACAGCTGCACATTTTTTGAAGAGTTCATTTTGTTAAGTCTTTAGCAGTCTATTGGAATTTACCAACAGCAGTCAACAAAGGCCCTACAGCTAAGCCCTCAAGTTATTTGAAGAAACTACTTGAGTACATTGTTTTGGAATAAAAGATAGAGGTGTGGCCTCTCTGTTGCTTTCACAAACATGCACATACCTGCCCATATTTCTTCATACCTTCTGCTTGGAAACACTAGTGAGCTTCGAGAGGATCAAATTGTGACTTTATTGAGGCCAATGTCACCATCATTGTGGACTTTAGTGGGGGCTGGAGTAGGAACCAAATTTACAACTGTGATTAAAAATCACAAGTAAAATGCACTTGCCCATTTACAATCATTATATATTTTAAGTGCTTTATTGAGCCAGTTGTAAAGGATAAAAATGGGAAACAGGTTTTATGAAGTGTTTTTTCTCTCTACAGTTTTTTTTTTTAATGAATTACAAAGAAATAAAAATATGCAAAAAAGGTTTCCTGATACTTCTGGACTACATAGTATGAAAATATTAAGAAATTGCAACAATATAAAGAAGTTCCCATCTAAATAAATGAGATGGTTATGAAGTTATAGAAACAAGCTCATTCATACACAAAGCTGTAGTTGCCCAAAAATGCAGAGTTCAAAGACCTTTTTTAAGACACACCAAGGAATATGCAGGTACAGCTAGGCAAATAGAGCCTTCAAGATCTGGCTGGTGCTGGCAGCCTGATCCTTTAGGATAATGAGAAAGTCTTTAACTCTTTTAGTTATTTACAACTGTTTGGCCCCATTCTGCATGGCAAGTGAATTCCTACTGAAAGCTTTTATGTTTGTCACTCAGGAAAAACACATAAAAATACCATCCTTTTCATCCTGCAACAGATGATTAAGCCAAGATCTCATAAACATATGATGAAAACTTTACCACGTATAATTCCCCCAAAATTTTGCTGATCTCAGCTTTGGCTGAGTTTATCATTAATAGCTGATAACATATTTTCCCCTGTCCCCCAATTCCACATTAACTTTGTGACAGTGCATCTTTAGAGAATTTGGCTGTAAATCACAGGTTTGATTTTATCTCAGCACATTTAGACATCAGTGGCTGTCTTTAGTTACTTAATTTAAAACTTTGAAGTTGTTAATTTGGCCTCATTGGTTGAAGTGTCACAGTATACAGTTCACAGGAGTATTTGGAAAATTTTAAAATGCTGAGTTAATACTACTTGCCACTTCAGAGAAATTGAAACTCTTTCAAGGGAGCTGCTGAAGTGTTTGCTAGTGCAAAAATGTATTGATAAATACTGAGATCTGTCATCCTTTTAATTGTGTTTAAAAATGACACAAACTGATGTATCAACTACTCCATAGCAAATCCTAATAGACTTACTGGGAAGAATAATGAATCTCTTCCTTTATTCAGAAGGTAACTTCTAGGTGTTAGAAGATGTAGTATGAGAACAAGAACGGATTGCGTTATGAATTCAATTGCTGAAGGGGTTTTTTCAGGTACTTCAAAGGCAGTATCCTGGTGGTAGGATGCTTAACTAGATGGACTGCAGTTATGATACAAAAGAACATTATTTTATTGAGATATGTCACAGAAAGCTCAGCTTCTTGAACAGACAGTGCTTGTACCCTCAGTGCCTTTTACTGGCTCAGTAGTTATCCCCTGAATCGTGCTTCATACAGCCAGATATGGGTTTTTCCCTTGGCATTTAGGAACAGAAGTATCACTGTTCCTGCTATCCTTGTGCTGGAGGCTTTATGACTAGATGGAGCAGAGCTGTTTTATTGGCTTTGGGCCACCAGGAGCTTTTTGCATATTCTGAAGAAATTCCCAGTTCACTGGAATTTCCAGTGCTTCACCCTCCCGTGTCGCTGCTGTGGCCACACTTGTGGCTGATGGTGACCTTGCTTTGTGACACCTGACACTCCTTATGCCTCACCAGTGCCGAAGGTGCTGGACTGAGCTTCCTGGCCACCCTGCCAAGTGCACAGCAGGCCCCTGACGTGACATAGAGAAAATAAGAAGTTCCCAGTTTTTTCTTTCCCCTCTTCAGCCATCAGTCTGTTATTTCTGTCTGGTGCAGCTGCTGCAGGAAGAGGCCGTATTACCTCTGTGAACTGCAGAAACTTGTAGCTTACTGCTGTGAGCCAGCAGGTTTCAAATGGGATCTGCAGTTCCTTGTGAAGATCTTATGTTCAAGATGGTCACCTTTGACCTACCACATGGCACATCAGGGATGGTTACAGTTCTGGAGGTTAAAAAATGGAAAATAGAAATAATACTATAATACTAAACAGCATGACAATGCAAAGGGATGAAATTATTTTCTTGTTGAAATCCTGACAAAATAAATGATACACTGATTCATGTATTTAATTTATGCAATACTGTAATTTCAGCAACAGTGTTCTGAACACTGGTTTTATCTTACAATGCTTTATACCTGACAAAAAGAGGGAAAATTTAGCAATTTGTCACCGTATAGAACAGAAGTCGGCTTCAAAATTTCTTGCTTTGTCAGGCAATAACATTCCAATGTCATGTCATGTAGAAAAAGTCAAAGCATGTGCATGAGCAGAGGAAATCCAGTCAAGTAATGGAAAAAAGTCTAAAACTCAAGGGAGAAGAGATAGCAATTACCAGCTGCTCTAGTTAAATATTTCTTTCTGTGCTCCCTTTCAATCTTTTGGTTTAATTTATTTTTTAAGGTACATTCTTAATTCTGAATTAATGTAGTTCACACATGTCCTGCCATACCTTGGCATGTAAACACTAGGATAAAATTAATGGAATAAGTTGTGTGAAGGTCTGTTAATTAATAGTGAATTTGCTCTGTTCTGTGGTACGTTTTTTTCCCTACTAGGCATTATTTCCAGTTTCAATCTTTATAGGCAGGAGGAGATCAAATAGTAAATAAAACATACTACTAGACAAGTAGAGTTGGGGTTTCTTCTGTTTGTAGATCAGTAGCCCTGATGCAGCCTGTGGCTTTTTATTGCTTAAAACAACGGAGACGAGTTATCAGCCAAGCTATAATGACAGAAGAAACTGACTCTGTATAGTTTTCGCTCATTTATAACTTACATTGTAAATAACATAGTTTATAGGAAGGCTGTAAAGTGACGAAACACTTTGCCAGTGTGGCCCTGCATCTGACTAGAAGTTCATTTGGTCAGATATGTCTCAAGTACTGGCCATTAGTAGATGTCTCGGAAAGTCTAAGAACACAACAAGAACTCAATACTTTCCCTTTTTCCTTTCTCAGCCTTTTGGAGAAAAGTGGCCTTCAATCTTTGGCTGACCAGTGTGGTATACTCATAAACCTCAGGGTTTTCCAACACCACCCATCTCATGTTTCAGTGCTTATTTGTACTTAAATTGTTTCTCGTGACTGGCTGGCTGTGCTAGTGCTTAAATGTGGCAGATCAAAACTCATTTTGTGAGGCACATGTCTGCACAGAGTGAAGGACAGCTATTGCACTGAGAAACTTTAAACCTCTTTTAACTAGACAAAACAGATTGGAAGGGGAAAAGGTACACCTCATGGTCTTTGATTCTCTAAGTTAGGCACTAATTATAAACATATTCCTAAAATCTGATAGTACATTGCTGCGCAGTCACAACAGCAAAACCCTTCATAGCAATTTGAAGCTCAAGGAAATTTCCATTGCCACAGCACTCGACCTTCTTCACAAGGAATAGAGAGAAAACATTTCTTGCCCTGGGGGAGAGCAGAGAATGCTGATGGAGTAGGCTGCACATCCTTGGCTGGATGCTGCCACAAACCTCCCAGGCAGTAGAGAAAGGGATACTCCAAGATCTAGACCATGTCCAAGCTGAGTTTTGGGCGTTGGTAGAAGGGAAAGACTGTATTGCAGTCAATGTTCTAAAGTCAATGTTCTCTCTGCTAAGAAGAAAAACAGATTTTTGGAAGAAATGGGGGAGATGGGCGTCGATGTGATTACAGGGCTTGAATTTTTAAAGGTCTCTAAAATAACTGAAGCAAAGTGCCAGCTACGAGTTCATATCCATCAGCAGAGACAGCACAAATTTATTTATATCTTCA